CCAGGGCGTGCCCCATTGCTATAAGCCGGCTGTGGCCCTAGAGAATTGGCCTCGAGGGGGTGGTCGGTACATGGTGCATGCTTTTGCGAGGGTACCCTTTTCAGGTCGGTTTATAGGGAAACCAAGAGGAAAACCATGGAGCACCACAGTTTTGTTTCACTTTCTTTTTTTGTGGGGGGCGGGGCTATGTTAACACATACGCACACAACCTTGTGAGTTTACTATAGTGTGCGTCCTTCAGATAGTTGACGTTTACCAAAGTGGATGTGTGTGGGTTTTCGCGCGCGGCCAAAGGGGATGTCTTGAACAACGCGACGATGATGGGGATGAAACGTGGATACTCAGCGCGTTCAGCGCATGTGAGTTGGGAGTCGGGACGAGACTGGCAGGGATTGTCGCAGTTCCAGCCGCCAAACCAAAGATCCCCCGCAAGACTGGCGGGGCAAGGTCGAGGCTTTGCAACAGCACAGTGCATTCGGGCTGAGATGCAGAGCAGAGCGGCCGATACAAAAGTTGGGGCTTCACAAGTAGAACCCACTGAGAGAAACAAGTCGGCAAGGAAGGGACCACGCCGTGATACCTTAAGACCACTTCATTGAAGCATGCGAAGCCACGAAGCAAGGGCAATCTTGGTGTCTTTTGGGGCATGTCTTTCCACGGAGAGCTGATGGGTCAAAGGTGAGAATGTCGACAGCAAAAAGCTAAGAAAGGTTGTTAAGCGGCTGGCTAGTTCTGGATGTGAATGCCACTCCCCCCAAAATGATCCGGATGCCTCTGCGAAATATTCGGAACGCAAATCGAGGTTCACTCATGAACTAGGTTTGGCGATCGCGCGAAGTCTGAGGCGGATGACGATATCAGCAAGGTCGTAGAGAAGGCTTGCCGAAATGGGGAATGTACGAAATCGAAAAACTCGAGGGCCGGGTGGGTGGGTGGGTGGGACTCACGAAACACGGGACTGATGCCCGAAACATTGAGTAATAGAGGTACCTTAGGACTTGGACACTGGGGAGAAAAGGATTGGAATCGGCAAGCCGACACCCTACGTCCCGAGATGGCCCTGTGACAGGGAAGCCAAAAGGAAGTTCTTGCATGGATGGAGTCTCAAGCCTCATGGAGCCCGGGCCCCTGAAATTTATGGGTGCATTCAAAAGGTAAGGGAGACTCCAGGTAACTGTTTGATGCGGTACTGGCAGGGGTTCTTGGCTCTTACTTTTGAGACCCAATTTTGGGTGTGATTTCGAGAGCTTCACTTTGAGGGGGGTGACTGGGGATTTCATCGGCACTGCTCAAGACGGCCAGAGCTCCACTTTCGGTTTCAGCTGTGCGAATCCAGCGCTTTTCGGTTTTGTTTCTCTTGTCCAGCGTCTTTTTCGGCATATTTTTGGAGGAGGATTCCCTTCAAAACAACAAACAAGCTGCCCTGTTGTTCCATCATCCATTCGATGTCCGGATTTTGTACTCGTTTCTCTTTTGGTTAGGCATGGCTCCATCACGGGGGGGTGTGGGCGGTGTGGCGGGCCGTCATGCTGGCTTGCCGGACAAAGGGTTGTACCCCACGTTTTCAAGGCGGCTCCAAACTGCTGATCACCTCAAATCGCGATAAATCACCTGACAAATCCAGAAACCGGATTGGTGCAATGCATTTTTCTCCATAAATCGAGGTTTCCCAAAATATGCAACCCTATTCACAAACATTGTCAGCGTCCTCGGAATCTAGCCAAATGGTCCGGAAGAGTGGTCAGCCAAAAACAATGTGGGGGCATCTGCAAGTTAGCAGCAAACGCCTCGTGCCAATCGAGGCAAAAGTCCTGGTTGCCTAAGGCAGAACCGTGTCTGATGGATTCAGCACATGTTGCAACCAACCCTGTCGGAAAGTTCTGGGGAAAAGACCGACCACGCGTTTCCACTTTCTCACCCCTGGGCTTTGGTGCTAGCTTTCCCTTGGTTTGTTGTTCAAAGTGGGATGTGTGAAGGGAACCTCCACAAATCGGAGGGTCAGGTCCTTTTCGCTTCCCTCGGATTGTTGTCTAGGGCCCCCAGTAGTGCCCTTTCTCACCCCTTTTTTTGGGGGAGGGTTACCCCCTACTAAAATAGACTACAGAAGACAAACCGGATACCAACTGATTCTCACCTCTCAAATCTGGAGGACCTAGTATTGGAAGGCTCATTCCATGAGAGGCAAGAAGAACTGCTCAGATCCTGGCTTGACTGCTATTGGGTTGGATCTTTGGTCGGCCGGAGGACCTAGCTGTCGACCGCGGCCAGTCGAGTCTCTCGCCAGGCCTGGGCCTCGAGCTCGGGCTTCGCGCTGAGGACCCTGGAGCAATGGAGGCGCGGGTGGAAACGGGGGGCGCGGGTGGGAGGCTGGGGTGGGTGGAGTTGGGGTTGAATAGGTTGGTTTGGGTTGGGTTTGGCTTTAGGTTGGTTTGGGTTGGATTGGGTTTTAAGTTGGGTTTGGTTTAGGTGGGTTCGGGTCGCGTTTGGTCCAGGTTGGTTTGGGTTGGACTAGGATTGGATTTGAGTTGAGTTGGGGGTTGGGGTTTGGTTTAGATAGGTTGGTTTGGGTTGAAATGGATTGGGTTTGAGTTGGCTTTGTTTGGGTTTGGATTAGATTTGTTTGAGTTGAGTTGGGTTTGGGTTTGCATTCGATTTGTTTCAGTTGGGTTGGGTTTGGGATTTGTTTAGATTTGTTTGGGTTGGATTGGGTTTGGTTTGAGTTGGGTTGCTTCGGGTTGGTTTAGGTGGGTTCGGGTCGGGTTTGGTTAGGTTGGATTCGATTTCATTGAGTTTGAGTTGGGTTTGGTCGGGTTTGGCTTTGGTCGGTTAGGGTGGAGTTTGGTTTGGGGTGGGTTGGGTTGGGTTGAGTTGGGTTTGGTTTAGGTCGGTTTGGGCTGGGTTGGGATTAGGTCGGCTTGGGCTGGGTTGGGTTTGTGTTGGTTTGAGTTGGGTTGGTGTGCTTTGGTGATTCGATCTGAAGAGCCGGGTGCAGCTTGTAAAGAGAGGCACCTTGATTCATTGGAAGGGTTTGGACCTCAATTTCCGGCCCATTTTGAGGTCCCCCGCGATTCTCAGCAAAATGTTACCCGGCTGCTCGTTGGTTGGAAGCCACGGTTTTCGTTCGGCCCGTAAGGCGCCTGCTGAGGGACCCGAAACAGTTGCAACAACCGTTGGCTTGGTTTTGAAGGAAAACAAGAGCGGAAGCTGTTTGGACGGTGTTTCAAGGGAAACTAAGAGGACGCCCCCACCCCTGCCATGATATTGGCCGCTGTTTGCAAATAAAATATGTCTTGCTTGTGTGCAGTGCGTACATGATCGCAGGTCATTCGCTGACGAAGTCATGGGCGCGTCAGCGGGCAAGAAAGACACCAAGAAGAAGAAGAAGGATACTTGGCTGCTCTTTTGGTTGGGTCTTTAGACTTTACTGCAACTGTTTGGGAAATGAATTGATTTTCGCAACTAAACAGTTCTTTTGTGTTCCCCGCTTTGTTTTGGTTAGATGTCTCTTCTGGACCATAGCGATTCGGGAGCAGCAAGTTTCCAACTTGCTTTGGCGCAGGGGGTTGAGTCAGTCAGGACAAGAAGGAGAAGGGCAAGTGACCCAAGTAACAGGCGCGCTCGCCGCTCGCACAGCGGCTTTCGAGTTAAAAACCGTCGAAGGTAGCACGCGGACCGGAAACACAGGCAGAGCAGCTAGAACCTACCTTTTTTTTCTGAATTACCTTACAACACGGACCAATCTGATTAATGTGGTGTCTGCAGCATGGGATGGCATGTGCGTGAGTTTGAGTGAATATTTGGTTTCGGAAGGGCCAAATCAACCTTAAGAGGTTCGATCCCTTCAGTTGGCTGTGGGTTCGATCCCTTCAGTTGGCTGTGGGTCAAAGCCAATGGGATCCCATTTTGGGGTAGGTGAATTCACCACCCAGTTTAGTCAGTTTGAGTGGTTGGATTGGGATGTTCACAGGGGGTACGGGATTTTGACCCATGGCCAGTTGACACCATTGACTTCCGCAGCGACTCCTTCCGCGCCGTCGGGTCGCAGGTTCTCTCGAGACGGGCGCCGGACGGCCGGATGTCTGCCGACATCGGCAGTCTGATGGCCGTTGTGTCGCGCAAAGGGCGCGCAGCGCTGGTTTCTCCAAACTGGTTTACCTCCAAGTGGCCAGTTTACGCTTGTTTCCCCTGAAAGCCTCCAACAAGGTACCCCCCGATTTTGAGAAGCACTCCATGGCTTGGCAGAGAGCCGGTGAGAAGCTGGCCAAACTTTGGCTCGTGTTTGATTCCGGGGGGAGTCAGCAAATCCAAGCCTACGGACCCGACAATCTCTATCCATGGAGCTGGATAGAGGTCAACAGCGAGAAGCAGTGCGAAGATTGACGCGCGTGGGAAAATTGATTGGCTTTAGGTTGACACTTTCCATGATACTAAGGGAATCGCCTTAGCGAGAAGCCGCCAGCGTTTCTGTTGGAACCTCCCATTTTGCCAGTAGCTTCGAGTATGGTTGGGCGAGCAATAACCATAAAACGGTATCACGGAAAACAACCGGCATCCATTTTCCGCAGAGATGGCTGAAATGCCTGTGTGCCGAAAAGACCTCGTTTCGCGAATGCGGAAAAAGGAAGCGCCTGGAGGCTTCGACAGGGGTCGACAAGTCCAATAGTATGTAGTTCCGTTTGGAGGGATGGGGGAACTCGCTCAATTTCCCACAACGAGCCCTAAATCTTTTTTTTACACAGACACTCGCCGTCATCTACTTTCATTTGTCTGTTCAAAGTCACCCCAAGGCAAGAGTCTAGTAACTCCAGTACAGGGGAAAAGTAATTGGTGCTCCCAACTTTGTGTTGAAGTTTGGTTTCAAAGTACCCCACAGACTTATTTCGCCCCTTAAGCATTCTTCGCACCAAGCCGTAGGTTGCAACCGGACCCGGATCGAGCCTTGGATCTTGTCCCGGAAGGGCCCCCGACGGGGTGCTGTTTCTTTTTCTTGGGAGGGGTGAGCCCCAGAAAATGGGGCCCAACATGGGATCTATGGGATATGGACCCTGGACGGGTCCAGGTTCCCGACTCGAAGAAAGGGACCCACGTCCAAATGGACCAATTGAAGGACCTTTAGAGATCTCTGATTCGAAGGACCTTTGGGGCCTCTTGGGACCATTTCCCGGGTTAGTACAGATTGGGCCCCTTTGCTGCGCTTAGATTCTCGCGCTGCAAAAGTGTCAAGCTGCAACAGAATCTTGCGGCCCCTCTTTCATGCCTTTTTATCTGTTCTTCTTTGCGAGTTGTTTAGTCTGTTGCTGTTTGTTCATTGTTGGATGGGCCTGCAAAACAAACTGGTGTATGCCACAATACCAAGCTTTGGGAAGATGGTGGCGAGTCCATAGGTACGAGCTGATGTGCGTGGATCGGCAGCCACTGCTGCGATCTCTCCCACGAGGTGTGTCTCAAGTTTTTGTTTGTTTGTTTTTCTTTTCCCGCGAGCGGAACCCGCCGTTCCTGGCGATCAATATATGGGTGCGCCTTAAACCATCAACAAAAATGCTTCTTCAAAAAAGACACCCAGATGTGTCAAATTTGAGGGTGCCCGTTCCAGTGCTGGTCTTGAAGAAAAACCAAAGGGTTCGGAGTCCTGTGCCACACGCACACATTACATATGAGTACAAATTGACATGCACATACACATCGACATGTCCATGGATGTTCGAGTGAATCTGCCGAAAGGTATGCCCTAGATTTAGGGCTTTTCTCGCCTATGAAGGTCAAGGAACCGGGGGGACTCACTACATTTGGACCTCGGCCCCGTCCCCAAGGGTCTCGAGGCTTGGTAGAAAGTCCTAAGTTTCAGTAGGGATTGCTTTTTGCTAATACCCTCCCCATGCTTTTCAGGGATCCTTCTCAGAAAAATGGAAGGCAACACCTTGGAACATGACAATTCTGTTTTTTGCCGTGTATTTGTTTGCTTTTTTGTTTGTTTGTTTGTTTGTTTGTTTGTTGGTTGGTTGGTTGGTTGGTTGGTTCGTTGGTTGGTATGTTTTTGTTTTTTGGGATGTTTGTTTGCTTGCTTGTTTGCTTGTTTGTTTGCTTTTGTTTGCATTTGTTTGCATTTGTTTTGCTTTTGTTTGCATTTGTTTGCTTTTGTTTGTTTGTTTGCTGTTGTTTGTTTGTTTGTTTGTTTGTTTGTTTGTTTGCCTGTCTGTCTGTCTGTCTGTCTGTCTGTTTGACTGTTTATTGCTTGCTTGCTTGCTTGCTTGCTTGCTTGCTTGCTTGCTTGCCTGCCTGCCTGCCTGCTTGCTTGCTTGCTTGCTTGCTTGCTTGCTTGCTTGCTTGCTTGCTTGCTCGCTTATTCGTTCGTTCGTTCGTTTTTTTTTTTTGCTTGTTTGCTTGTTTGCTTGTTTGTTTGTTGGTTTGTTGGTTTGTTTGCTTGTGTGTTTGCGTGTTTGCTTGTTGTAAGAAATAATCCACTGGGTCCATGAAAGTGACGTGCTCAAAGTTACCCTCTAAATGGTGGTTTCAAGGGACATGATCCCTTTGAAGAGAGGGGGGGGGTTGCTCAAATGGGATGTTCGAAAACAAATTCTCCCCCCCCCCCCCCAAAGCATGGACGTTCATTGCCCTGCAAGACGCGTTTCCTCTTGGAAGGGGAGTCGACGCACTTCCATGCCAGTTGACGGGAAGGGTAAATGGCGGGTTCAAAGAAACACAAGGCCCACAAGTAATTTCAAGAAGCCCTCAAACTGCAAGCACTTTGAGTCCAAGACTGATTCTGAGGCATAGTACGGGCAGGAGAGACATGGCCCGTGGTGCTTCATGGCCCCGAACAGTGACTCTTGGGTTGCACTGGCTCCCCTTGCCGTGGCCCTGCACCAGATGATAAAATGAAGCAGCCAAGTCAAACATCCGGGGCCCGGGTTCCCCTGCAAGTCTCCGCTGGACGCGGGGAAAGTCGCCGCCTTCTCCTGGGTGGCGATGTGCTCCTCGACCGAAGCTTTTGTCCCGTGCGATGTGCGCTGCTCGAAGCTTTGGCAGGCTTCAACACCAGCGTGGTGCGGCAGCAGGCGGTGCCCCCGGAGCTGTACCACATCTTGCTGAAGCTTCTGAGCACGGGACTCGGAGATCCAGTTCCCAGGATGCGGGGAACGAGTTGCTCGGAACGTGGGTTGGAACCGGTTTTTCGAAAGAGAAGGATGGGCGAGCATGCGGAAGCGACCCTTTGACTGGGCCATGGACCTCGATGTCCCGTTTTCTATTTGGGACCTTGATGGATGCTGATTCTAGGCGATTCCACTGGGCGATTCTGGCGGAATTGACAATAGGACCATAGGAAAAGAAACCCCCTAGTCAACAGCTCCGAGTGTCCCGGGGCAAAAGCCTGTTCAGAAACAAACGCATTTTCGTCTTGGGACCTTGTGGATGTTGGCTGTTGGATGCCTTGTCGGAAGCTGAAGCTGAGGCCATAGAAAGGATCTGATTCGGCTCCACGTATGTTTAGAATCACGGACTGCTCGCAGTATGTATTTTGCTTTTGCTCTCTTTTGTTCATTCTTGGTGCCGGCAAGGCAAGCATTTGTTTCAGCGACTATTTCCCGCTGAATTCAGACTATTTCCCGCTGAATTCATGTTACCACAGCAGGCAACCGAGTTGTAACCCTTAAAAGCAGCCATTGGAACATGTCTGGTGCACTGGGCTCAAGAAGGACCGGGGATACAAGCAAGACCAACAACTGGGGTACCCCTTTCAGGGTTGCCCTTTTTTGGGAAGCGAAGCGGAAGCTTTTTGAGACACACCCAAACGGAAACCTACTCAAGCACGACATGATTTTCTGGTTCCCAGTATGTTTATCCTCATTTGACCCTATAGTTGCTAGGTTTATCCCCGGCTTTCATCCATGCCTGGGCCAGTTGCTTAGTTGAACGATGTTTACAATGGTTGTAGGGTTATTCCAAACCCAAACTATGACAGCCCTTATGAGTCCTTTATTTGATACGTAAAAAATAGATATTACCCAGTGATTCCGTTTCGCCGATAGGTAACCAATGGTTTCACCCTTACTAGGCCCAGAAGGAAATGGCAGGTGACCTAGTATTTAGCTGGGATCCACTGGGTTAGTTGAACCCCACTTAGTTGAACCTTTGTATTAGTCCTCTGTAGTCTACAGTCCTTTTATGATATTAGGTTTGTAATGATCCAATTAGTTGAACCTGGTCCTCTATGTTAGTCCTCTATATTGGCCCTTTCATATTCCTCTGTTTGATATGTCATTTAGCCCCTATTTATAGTCCTCGAACATTCCATTTAGTTGAAGCTTGTAACCCTCTATGTTAGTCCTTTTAGCTCTTCTAAATTCCTGAAGTGATATGTCACGTGTCTTGTTCCTAAATTGGTTGACCCCTCTGGTAATAGTCCTTTTGGTTGCTATGACATGAAACAAACCGAGTTGCTTCTGAGCTGGCTGAGCCATGAATTGGAATCGGAGCTCCAGGTTTTGGTTCCAGCGGCCATGTTTGGCTCCAATGGAATGCAAGATCGCTTCCAAAGGCGGGTCTTGGGCACAAGCACCGCAGCATCCGATTGCTCGGCATCTCCTTGCGGCCGGGTCGCG